ATTACTTATACTTGATTGATAGATTGAAAGAGAAAGAGGGTGTTGATCTGCCATCAAAAAGAAGGCAACTCAATTTGTCCGCTCAGTGATGTTTTTAACTCTACTTAAATTCATCCAAAACGTTAGAGTAAGCTCATCAACCAAACCAGACATGTCAGATTACGCAACCCCAGTCTTACCTTTCCTTGGAGGGTTAAACGTAAATGAACCTAGACTGAAAAGTTAGGACAAATGGTTTCCTAACTTGATTTTCATGCTTACAAGCTTATATCTCATCATCTCAATCATACTTGGTTACGGACCTACGCAGTCTCAGCCAAGCCTTTCGCTTGGGTCATTAGGTCTTGAGGATCAGAACCTGAGATTAAAACTTTGAAAACTCTGATTTAGGAACCGTATTGCATATAGACGCTGACACGCATAAATATACACACTCATACAATCGATTAAATAACAGGACCAGTATGAAAGAAAATTAACCAAACCACTCTATATCGATCTATCTAGGTTTTTAATTTTTTTTTTGGCTCAGTTGAGTCTATATAAGAAGTAAGATAGAGCCAAATAGTGTTCTTGGCCTAATGTTAACGTGAGACTCTTAAAAAATGAGACTAAACTCTAATGATGTCCATCATATGGTGGACGAAAGCTCAGTACGTTTTCACCCGAAACGAGGGACTGCGTCGAAATGAATATCTTATAAAGGCCAAACGGCTGCAGTACAACGAAATTCATCCGTCCTCATCTGGTGATACCGACCAACGAATCTCTTCTTCATTCACTTTCATGCGAACTTAAAGTCCCCCTAACAACTTCTATAATGATTTTAGGATTATGCATTAATTTTCAATAATAAATATTCGTAAATAAAATGGGTTTGCTTACATATTAGATAAAACAAGCTAAAAGATTATGTAGTTCGCATGATAGATCAGGAATAGGTGAAATTTGCGACTTCTTATGTTAACTGAGAAGCAACTTTTAGTGTACGAACGAAATTTTTATAGTTATTATTATAGTATATTATCTGAAAATTCAATAAATAAATAATTATATAAAACTATAATAAAAGTTGCGATGAGTTTAGCTTCATCTACAAAATATATCGTACATTTTTTATTTTATAAGCAGCTTTCCAAGATGGCTGCTATATTTCAAATATCCTCAATGTTAAAGGAAGAATTATGTGACAGTTAAAAGGTAATTCGGATTCCAAAGATACTGAAGTTGATGGTATAAGAGGTTGTTGCCTTTTCAGGATGCACAAATATGCCAAAAAAATATAATTTTACAATTAAATATTGCTTATAATAGTAAAAAAATGGGTGATATATGTTGCTGAACAAATAGTTGTAGATTACTTCAATCTGTATATGAAAAAGCTTAGGATAAATTATATTACATCCATTTACCGTATATATTTAAGAATTGAGAAAACTAAGAGGTCCTATTTGCAAAAGAAAGTTTACATCT